GTATCGACGATCTAGTCAAGTCGATGAGTTTACCCAGGGTACCTTAGTATGTGTGAAGAGTTAGTGTTAGAAGACTATGGGGAGGACTCGTTGAGAGAGACTTGACTAGGGTCCAGGTTGACCGCGCATTAACGGTCTCTCAGCTCCACAAGAAGTTCCTTCCACGCATTAGAAGAATTCAGAACGGCCGTTAATTTGAAATTCTCGCTGGAAATTGGAAATTGCTCGACAAACTGACTTTTGTGGGATTTTTTTCGCTGAACTTAAGGGGCAACTATTTGGCTTTCGTGCTCCCGAGTTTTTATTCGAGGGAAAGTATTTAAGTGTTGTTTTCGAGCGATTTTGGTGAGCATGTGTCAACAGAAGTTTCCGACTTTCCCGTATCTTGTGCACGGTGAATCGGTGGTGATTAGGGCGTCAAGCTAAAACACATCAAAACGCCCTCAAATCGCGAGGAGAAGAACACAGTCTACTCTCTATGAAGGTAAGACTTTATTTCTTTGATTATTTCACACAACTTTACATTTACGGAGCTCACAAGCAAGTCCAACTAAACCACTATACAAACTCTTTAATAATCCACTGTAGAAGATCCTGTGACTATAGTTAGAGCTTGGGCCACCTGTGTGTTCGGGGTCTCATCTCTGTATTTAGACATTGTAATCGATTTGAATGTAAAAGCTACGCCGTAAAACGTTTTCAAATGTGTGTTTTACTCTGAACACATCTAAAATATCCTTTGAAGAACAATGTTAATAGAAAGGAAAAAGAAAAGAAAAGACAAAAAAAAGCTGACGCGGTCAGAGCTTAAACCTCAAGTGGAGTCGGTACATTCATTGCTACAAGGATATGATTACCAACCGAATTGGACTCCACTGGGTCCAACCACCATTATTAATAACAGACGAATGTGAACTGTGATTTTACTACCACGTGCAAAACAAGTGCACCTGCTGAAACTCGTGCAATGACCAGATCAGTTTCAAGTTAATGTGGGCCGAGGTGAGGCGTGCCTTACAGGATCCCCATGGAAATTCACGAAATGATTTCTCAACCAAATCGTTTCAGAAATTTTGAGTTTGAAACGAATTATTTTGATTAGTTACTTCCTTCATTTGGATGACAGAACCCAGCTGGAATTGTGTAAAACAAACGGGCAAAATCTTGTTTATTCAGGATCCACCTGAAATTTCTAATTTGATTGTTTTCTAGGACCAGATGTTAACGCCTCTACAGAAAACGCAGCATTTTTACCACAAATTTTATCCTTGTATCGACAAATGAATTATTAATTTACGCTTGCTCCTTTCGATAAAGATTTACATTGAAAAAGAGGCTCTTATTCATCAATTAAATTAAACATCTTTGTACACATTTTCAACCACAAAGGTCGGCAATCAACAACGAATGAAAGAGACATTCATTGCCCTTCTTCACTTAAGTTTTAATGCATTGTTCCTCGATCTCACTGAAACAAAAGAATTGAAACACGGTAAATACTTGTCGGCCTGGAAAAACATTCTTTCAGTTCGTTGGCAAAGAAATCAAGGGAAACAGTGCAAACATCAATGTGCAAGGTTTATTTCATTTTCGACATAGGCGCGTGACGTAGTATGTAACGCGACCTTTACAAACATCACATCATCACACCACCTTGCAATGGTCAACAGTGAAACGACGCAATAGTTGCATTGTATACCAATTTTTTCACACTTAACATGTAATTTCATAAGATCGTCCTTTTACAATACCGCTCGTCTTGGTGCAAGCAGACTTTTGTGCAGCAGTGGTAGAAAGTACTTCGAAATGGAAAGGCAGCAATTGTGTCCGTTTTAGCAGTCTGTGTTATTGGGTTTGGTTCATGTTTTCATGTAAAATATGAGGATTGTGGTAAGCCTCACTCTTTTATTCACTTGTACTGTACTTATTTATAATTTCACAATGAAGAATATCCAAGCTCTCTGTAGTTCTCAAATTGACTTTCTTTGTGGCTGGTTACGATGTAAAAAAAAAAAAAAAAAAGCATTGCAACGTGTAGAAGAAGGTCTTGATAATATCATACAATAACTGAGCTGCATTCCACCGGATTAAATTAAGACATTAGCTAAAGAGACCATAGACGATGAAGTTTGGTCAGACGTCGTTAAAAAAAGGAGGTGGTTGGAACGCTTGCATATCCCCATTAACCTTTCATGTTTCTTCATGCAAGAAATGCATTCCCCTTCTTAAAGCACAATTCATCCACACGTGCGATATCAAAGCCATTTCAGAAACTGGATTAGTGCAATTTGAAATCAGTGGGCGATTTCCCAACTAGACTCCGAAAAAGTGAGTATATATATTACGAACAAGGTCGAACAACAGTGACTAACCTTCCGTGACGTAGCATAAGGAAAAAAAAGGAAGATAAATTAGTAACCATTTTAACCACAGAAAGATGCAATTCTTCTTGGTATTAAACGTATTTCATTTACTACAGGTAGGGCAGATGCATTGTCCAAACTTGTCTTCGTGGACATTGACCCTTGTATAAATCAGCCCGGTCCGTGCAGCTTGAAGAAAGGAACTGAGGAAATCATTCAAGTTCAGTTTGTACCAAGTACGAAAAGTTCATCGGTTTGGGTCTTAGTGTTATTGACTGGAGAGTGGACCAATGAAACAAAACTACAAAACTTGATAGGAGAGGAGCTTGCCACACTACTAGAAAAGGGAAAAATTCTTATTTTTAAGTCATCTTTTTCGGTCCGATAAGAAGTTGAAACGACCCCAGCGCGTTTGTCAGTTGCAAGTCATTTTTGGTTGGACACAGAAAACAAACTTTCTATGGGTAATCACGCGATACTAGTTATTTGGAATAAGTAAGGGCAATAATTCTTACCAAACCTAACAAAACTGCTCGAGTCCGTAGAGATAATTTTCACAGTTATGCAGAGGCTGAGCGCGCAAATCATTTGCAATAAGAAAACTGTTCAAACCTTGTATAATTTCAGGATGTCGGTCAGAACAACCGCATACAGTAAAAACAACCATTTTCTGAAAGTTTTTTTTTTAAGTTTTGAGCCACAAAAAAAAAATTCAAACTCAGACTTTTTTGCTTTCTTTCAAAATTCAACATTGTTACGAACATTTCACGAAATATTAATTCAGTTTATCTTCATCTCTCAACCATCACACTGGTGGAACAATAGGCTCTTTAAGGAGAAGAAATGCATTGCAAAACAAGGTTATTTGTTGTTTTACAGAGGTCAACATCACATAAGCCACGACGGTGGTGCACGGTAAAATTTTAGGGGTACCCATGCCAGTACCATTTCCTGTGGACGAGCCAGATGCTTGCAAACGCCAAGGACTTGAATGCCTTTTAGTTGCTGGGAAAACCTACACGTTCAAAACTAACCTGCCCATAAAGCGCATGTACCCTGCTGTAAGTATCATATAACAACACTTGACTTCCAAAGTGATTAATATTTAACTTCTCCCTATCATATCCACACATTATCCAACGAAAAAGTTATGAGAATACTCAAATTTATCCCGTGGAAATTGTTATCTTGAAATAATACCAAATTGTTGGGACTAATTTTACAAGAAATTGTTTAGCAGCCTGAGAGGAGAATTGATAACCACTGGGATGTTGAAGGGTTAAAGATGAGGACGTGGAGCAGAAATTTACTTTCTCATTATTTCAGTTGCCATATCTTTGAGTACTAGTCCATCCTAGAACATTCTTCAGTATCCAAGTGCTCAATGGATAGAGCGCTGGACTGTTGTGCGGGAGGTCGAGGGTTCGAGCCGGCCTGACCGACACTCAATGTCTAAAAACAAGTGAGAAGAATATCCTACCTTTCTTCATCAAGAAATGGTTAGATACTCTAGTCTGCTCGGAGTGGGACGAATAAATGGAGGTCCCATCTCCCGCAGGGTTAGGGGGTAGGAGACGTTAACTTCCCACACACGAGATTACTTTGTGATGGATGTCCTCCCCTGGAATCGTTGTTGGGTGGGAATTGGCCCTGAAAAGCCCCCATGGAGGGTGATCAATTAACATTATGTATGTATGAATGTATGTATGCATGTAACTCAACCTCTTAAACACTTTTTATTTCAGATTCAAGTTATCGTCAAGTGGGAATTGCACAACCAGGATGACAAAGCAGTTTACTGTTGGCAGGTTCCTGCAAGGATTATCAACTAAAACATTCATAGTTCAGGGTTTTCCAAATGCAATCAAAATGCAAGGGGTTCATCCAACTAAAACAGTATAATCAGTTTGAAGCAAACATGAAGATTGTTCATCATAGAGGAAAAGACTTGTCATCTTACGAATAAAGTTTGTGAAAAAAAAAAAAATTAAACCATGTTTTAAGTGTTCCACCTCTTGACCCTTTGGCCCCTAAAGATTGACTGGCATCTAATTTCTCCTTACAACATCACCCCTGAATCACACATAAAGGTTCTGAGAATAGGGGAAATGATCCACAGCAAGTCACTAAAGAAGCTCTTGACTGTTAAAAACAATCTCCTTGTCAGCATCTCAGACAATGAGATGCTGACAAGGAGAATTGTTGGTGTTTCTGTTATTTAGTTATTTATTTCATTTACTTTTTTATTGTATACATGTTTAAGAATTATTTGTTCTATAATCTATTTCTTTAATAAGAATTTAAAATGTAAAATGCCTCTTTTCTGACCTTATGTTTATTTTCAATTAAAATATGATCGTCACCCAACTAGTTTAGCTCTTTAGTTACAGTTGCTGGTGACCAGCAACTGTATGTATTTTTAATTTATTTCTCATTTAATTTGTAACTAAGGTAATTTTACAGTTCAAATAAACCTTGTCTTATCTTGTCAATGTATCTTGTCTTGTCTTGTCAATATGGAGAATACACACAGGTATAAATGGTTGCCAAAAGCATAATTTTTCAAAATTTCCGACTTTTTCCTTTTCCATCATTAAAATAAAGTTACTGACCAAATAAATAAAAAAATGTGACATGTAGAGGTAACATTCAGTTATTTATTATACTCAGAGTATTTACACCAATCACAAGAGCATTTGTATTATGACTGAAACAAAACAATGAAGACAAAAAATGGATGAGTTCTGAGGGTCTTCAATGTAGTTTCACTTTTTGCTGTCTCCTTTTTTCTGACGTCTAATTTTTTTTTGCTGATGATTTCTGAACCCATAACGACCTAACAAGTTTCAATACAGCCCTCTCCAACTTCTTACAGGCAACAAAACCTTTTACTTTTTACATGTATACTAAACCTTTTCATTCATAAATGATTTAACACTTACTAAAACATACCACTGACTATCAGAGACCTCATTCATAAGAGACCGACTCAAAGTTCATTCTTAAAACATGATACTGTCCTTTCAGTGCCACTCTGGTTTCATCATCATCATCATCATATGAGGGGGCATACCAAAGACCACATTCATGAGCGGAGACTGACTCACAGTTAATTCTTAAAACATGATACTGTCCCTTCAGTGCCACTCTGGTTTCATCATCATCATCATCATATGCGGGGGCATACCAAAGACCACATTCATGAGCGGAGACTGACTCACAGTTAATTCTTAAAATATGCTACTATCATTTCAGTGCCACTCTGGTTTCATCATCATATGAGGGGGCAAAGGTGCTGGGGCTGTGGGTGCAGGAGCAGTTCCACAGAGAGCACATGTCCAGTGACCTAAAAGATCAGCAGAACCACCTGAATAACCATATCATTACACAACAACAGCTATGTAAAGCATATTTGTGCCCAAGAACAGAAACTTTATTATTATTAGTATTCTTATTAGTATTATTATTATTATAATTATTATTATTATTATTGTTATCATTATTATTATTATCATTATCATTATCACTTTGGAGGAATTTGAGAAAATAAAAACTGAAAACAAATGTCAACAAAACAGTCTGGAAACTCATGTGAGCATGCAAGTGGGCTACAATATATTTTAGCCTACCAAAGTCTCCACTTTAGCATGCAATATGCATCACAATGCCCTCCAAAGCAATAATTATTATGAAATGAGCACCAGTGATCTTACAAGTTTCTCTTAGGTTTGGGGTCATAAACCACTACCACCATATGTTATTATGAAATGGTAATGACTTGACGTCTGGATTTCTTTTCCAAACATTCTTGTCATTATTGCAACAAGGCATTTCATCCACTGTATGATGGCCTTTGTTACAGAAGGGATTAACTCATTGTACAAGTACAGTTGTACAGGCTGGGACATGTGTCATTGCATTTGGCCTTAACCTTAACACAATTAAATTACATATAGTGTACATTCAAATTCTATTTTTGTGCTCTATGTAGGCAAATGAACTATCTTTCAATCACTGACGTCATGAAATGTCAACCTTCTCCCTCAGGAAACATTTGTGAGTTGGGTTTCTTATTCTATTTCTTTCCATCATTGCCATTTTGTTCATTTCTATTGTTTATTCTTTCCTAATTGTAGTGGATTCAAAAGTCTCAACAAAATTATAGTTCATGGTTAATAGTTGGTCAGTTACAGAAACCATAATGCCAATTTTTTCCCTGGGTGGTCAATACTTCCATCATAAAGAGTATTTGACCAAATTAAGTTCAATTGGATACATAAATCTTATTAACCAAGTGGGAGGGCCCTACTGGGAGAATATCGGCTCAAGGTCTTGACAGTACAGACCGAGCGCGGTCTGTACAAAAAAAGATCAAGGGCCAATATTCTTCCAGTACGGTCCCGAGCAAGCTTGGTTTATAAGAGATTTATTATACGACTGAAGTTCAAAGGGACACAAGTGCGGTATCATTCGGGACCATTCGGGACAGTGCCCGGTCCAATACTGAGAGAATATTGACCGGCAATAGAGCATTTTAATTGGTTGATTTTAGTTATTGGCCCTCTGACTGCCCGAGTCGTGTAATAAATGAATATACACTAGAAATAAATGATTACCCTCAGGTGGTTTTTGCATCGGTGGTTTGAGACAATACATGTGATAACCTCTGTCACAGCCGTCACAAAACAGGAGCTGATCCTAAAACAGACAGAACAGAAATCATTCAATGGTCAAATGAAAAGCTTGCAGCTTCCTTTTGTATCATAAATCAAAGGCAAAACAAACTTTATTGCGTATAGATATAGCTTTCATGCACATAAAGCAGGGTACATTGTATAGTTCTTTCTCAATGAATTCAATGAAAATGTTTCTAAAATAAAATTATGTGTCATTGAGTCTCACATCATTATCGGAAGTTCCACAGAGTGTACAGGACTTGCAGTCAATGCACTGCCATTTGTATTTTTTCACACTCTCTGTCAGCTTGCCAGTAAACTGAAGACAAGAAGGATGGCCTGAAAACAAAACCCAGATACCACTAAATGAAAGATCACTTGATCTTATCAACTGAGTTGTTAAATAACATAAATTGGCCACCATCGCAAGATTGTAAGGTTGATATTTCGAGTATAGGTCCTTTGCTCTGACCAAGGGATAAAGCTCAGACCAACTCATTTGTAAAGAGAAATTTGTTGCTAATTGGAAACCTAAGGCAGGATCAAACTGAATTGAAGAGGTGCATATTAGATGGAATCCTTCAAATTCTGATAGACTGTTTGTATTCCATGGTGAAACAGAGAAAGAAGTAGATGATGCAACAAAGATTCTGGGATCTCCAGACTATGCACTCTTCAGAATGTTTTCAAGAATTCCATCTTCCAAACTAATAGATGATGACCTATAGACAGCCTGTAGAGGGCCTGTCCAATTTTACTGTGAACTTCAGAATTTAACCATGAACACCAGTAATATTTCTGGAATGTTGTTATGTTGAGGAGAACAATCAAAACAGGCTTGAAAAATCTTCAATTTACACACTGGCACCTGTGAGTTTGCAGTTTTGTCATTTGACATTGTCCTGATCATCATTCTGAACACAATTCAGTTGCTTGTGGTTTTCTAAGATTGCCACTGAGTTGAGTAGTCCTTGCAGTCATTTGTTGTTTTTTAGTAAAACCCTTTTGCTCCCAAGATCTGATTGTTAATTCTACCCTCTGGCTGCTACACATTTCCTTGTAAATTGGTTATGAGAACTTGGTGTTAAGTCAAGGTAACACCCTCTAATTGATAAGTTTGAGTATTCACACAACCTGTTTACTGGGTAATGTATGGATAATATAGGGAGAAGTTAAATGTTAATCACTTCTAGGAATAAAAGGGATAAAGCTGGCAGCACTCATGGGCAAGATGAAGCAAATCCTGCATTCTGATTGGCTAGACTGGAAGGGGCAAGGTAGGTCCATCTTGCCAATGTTAGGATGGCCTGCTTTCATACAAGAAAAAAAACTGTGCAGAGTTGACTTACAAAGTTCAAATTTGTTGGTAAGTGTCCTGAAACTAAAAAGGGTAATACCTGATCTGCCACAGTCTGCACAAGATAATAGTTCTTCAGGATATCCTGTTGATTTATTCTCATACACATCACCCAGACAAAAGTCGCAATAGTTATTAGGAGAAGTGCCACTACCCGGAGCCTTCTTGGGTCGTCCTGGACCTCTTTGGTGCGGAGGCGACGCAGGAACCTTTGGAGACTCAACAGGAACACTGGTGGCCCCAGGTGTTGATGGGTGTGATATTGTTGGCTCCTCATGATGTGTTACTGGACCAGCGGCAGCCTCCTGTTCATGATTATAGTGGGTGTAGTGGTATTTCAATCCAGGGCCATTTTTGTAGCGCCTTCCACAAACTGAGAAAAACGATAGTAACCAAAAAATAATACATACATACCTCTCTATTCACAAACTTTTTCAATACAAGTAAAATAAAAAATACACATTATTCAAAGGTTTAGGATAAAATACACTTGGACGTTCTGTGAGTTACAACTGTAAGTAGTATTTTTTTTCCCAGCCCAGTACCGGGGGCAAGACAAAAGATGGGCAATGAGCAAAATGTCCACTCATTTTGTATGTTAAACCATCGAATAAGGGATTTATTATTTCATCTTCTGGTATTTGAGCTTTTGTTTAAGAAACACTTCCTATGGCCTTAACTAGAAATCTTTTTAGTTGTCTAAGATGTGGACAAAAGATGAAAACAATGGTAAATCTGCACCAATAAAATCTGTACTCAAAACTTCATATTTTAAAAAGGTGAGTCTTACAAGCAAAAAAAGTCACAGTTTGGATCATTCATCATAGGCATTTTATTGCTCCTTCTTCTGTATTTTTCCCTGCTCTACAGTATAATACCATGACATATTTTGCACTTTCTGTTACCCTACTATAGAAGGCACAGCAGTGGAACAGTAATTATAATTCTACACCTCCACACAAATATGACATTGCTTTTTATATAACTGTTTTTATGCTAAGTACACAAACTTCTATTCTATTGAATATCATATGTATTACTTCTCATTGTGCCAGTATTGTATGTAGAAGGTATTCATCAGTACTTATTATCAATTCAGCATTACCTGGTTTTAATTAAACAGTGACTTACTCTCACACACATAGGGTTTTTTTCTCTCCTCTGGATCCATCCTGGCTAATTCCTCCTTGGTGATATTGCGCACATGGAGAAGGCCAGGGATTTGGGGGATTGGTTTCTAAATTTTGAGCAAATAATAGTTAAACAACACCTGAAATTATTCTACACACAATGACTCCAAAATAAAAGTTTTCTACACTCTCAAACCTGATCTTGAAAAAACTTTTTCTAAAGTTTGACCTCCATTACATTCTTTCTTCAAAGGAAAACTTCCACTGGTGGAAGAATGGTCAATGAATTATCAAATATATTCATTAAATTACAAATCTATCAGCATAAAATGGGAATGAAGTAGCTTTTTGTGCATGTTGGATCCTGTGAGGTCTCATAGCCACTTCTATCTTCAGGATGTTCTTGGGGCTTGTACAGAAAACAGCCCAAATGATTTAGATTCAGACCAGGACTCCACCCTGAGTAAAGAACACTAAACATTTAGTTCCTGTATCTTAATTAGGCCACTACACTTGCCTTTCTTTAAATACTCTCTTTCTCTAAGTTGAGTACTTCTGCTTTCAGGAGGTTACTATATCTTGCTTTTTTGTGAAATTCCCTGCCAAAAACCCCAATAAAATTTTTCTTACATGGTGGACTGGTGTCTCTGGAAATATACTGGGTTGATGGGATTTTTTGCGTCCTGGCCTTCCTTTGCTGATAGGTCTCTTCTTGCTGACGATGAATTCTTCATCATCAGTGGATAACGCACCACTATCATCCTGTAGATCTTCCTCCCCTTCTCTATAAACCAGTCTCACTCCGTCATCTTTCACTGCCACAGCTTCTCGTGGATGATCAGGTTCAGACTCATCCAGTAGTCCTTCAGTTTCCATGGCATCCACAGTTTCAAGTATTTGCTCTTATTAATTGAAAAAGAAACAAAATATGGGTGTCAACTGATTACCTAAAAAAAAAAAAGTTCTTGGTTGTTAAACCTTTAACTTCCAAGATTTGATTGTTAATTCTCTTCTCCTCTAGCTACTACACATTTCTAGTTACAAGAATTTGGTAATAGATCAAGACAACAACTTTTACCACATAAGTTTAAGTATTCTCATGACCTGTTTGCTGGATAATGTATAGATATTACAGGGAGAAGTTACATGTTAATCACCTCTGAGAGTAAAAAGGGATAAGCAAATTCTACTGTCAGCACCTTAGGAAATGTTAGAGAACAATATGAAAAATATGTATACTGATGTTTAAGTGTGAAGGGTTAAAAAACATTTTCACCTGCTCTGTGTTCAGTATCAGGGCTTGATTCGTGTTGGAAACTGGAGAGTGAATAATTTTTTTTTTCTTTTTTTTTTGTCTTATGATAGCCTGACCTATTATTCATACGGACATACGAAACTTTTCTTATATTGTTTTACAGTTTCTTCCCCTCCTCCC